TACTACTAACCAATCAGTTATTAGACTATTCACATTAATTATTAAAGTAATCGAGTTGAAAATGGCTAAGAAACTCTGCTGAGTCTGTTTGAATGTCTTCCCAAGGCCAGTACTACTACTAATGAAGAAAATATAAGCACTGAAGTGCACATCTTAGCTTAATTAAAGTAAAAATCGTAGTATTTAATTGACCACGCCCATCATGAATATTAATTAGCTCTGAAAATTTTTCGCGGCGCACTTCGCGCGCCGCATATTTTTTCTCCGTGCCCACCCAACTCTCAGAGCTTAGATACGCCCCTGCATTGTACATGTATGTTAAAGATATTTTTATCTGTGACATGTAAATTAAACATTTTAATTATACTTACTTTCATTTTCCTGTCCATTGCAAAGCGAATATACCATATCTCACAGTTCGGAACCTCAAACCTAAACAACTTAAAAAACCCTTCCCCCCTCTCGTCTCTCTCTTACTTTTGTAAAACTTGAAAGGATTTCTGTTGTGGCTTATTGTCAGGCCGTGGAGGTCTCCAAAGTATCAAACTATTCTCACAACTTTTAGAAAACGCTAGTCGACCGAACCACCTCACACAGTCAATGTAGTTGCGATGAATTTCACGAGTTGAATATTTCGGAAAATGAACCTCCAGTATTGGAAATGACCTGAAAGGAATAAAAGGGTTAAATATACATGCATTTATACATGTACCTCCATCTCTCCTTTTTCATACATGTACTCATTAATTCTTATACATGTACATTTACATGTAAACCTTACATGTCACTACATTATATTATTTACACATACATGTACATGCACATGTATTACTGCCAATATATGTACATGTACATTTACATGTATACTAACAATAATATAAGGTACCGTATGTGTACATATGTCAATTTACATGAACATGTATATATTACCAATAATTAAATTACTAGTACTACATGTACATGTCTACATGTACCTACAAAAACTTATTCAAGTCAAGATTGTTGAATTTCGTAAGAGTATCTTTCAAAATCTGTTCCCCTTCTCTCTCCCTCTCTCTTACTCTTTTGATCCTTTAACATGTTCATATGATTGCCTAATGATGTCAGTGTATTCATCAGTTTGGAGGTCCCACATCTTCAGTGCATGATCCATACCAGCTGATAATATACAAGTACCTTCGAAATTAAAATCCTAAAAATGAAGAAACCAATTATCATTATATTTGTACATGTAAAGTTTAAGACCGTCCACACCTCCAAATATGGCAACACAAATGGCTGTCTTTATATTC